ATCATCTGATCAATTGATCGGCGTCTTCAAGAGATATTATTAATCCTGAGTGCATGGCAAACTATTACAAGATAATAACTATTTAGATATTAAAAAAATACTACAATTTGAACATGTTTAGATGATAGGCTGCGTAAAGACAATATTTATCTCTTAAATATGATGAATGGCACGCGCCTGCCAAATTGTGTTGCATGGTGGGTAATCATCAGTACGATGCACACGAGAGGCTGTATTTATTCCATGCGAATTCCCATAACGGGTACCCAGACATGATGGCCTATGTTTTTCTTTTCACAGATGCCTGGTGTTTTTAGGAATATTCTGTGTTTTAAAGAGACAATAAAGCCAAGAGTTTTGTGGGGTTTTTTATTTAAGATTTTTGCTGTTGCTGTTGTTCTTTTTTTTTCAAATTGAACGAAGTGTTGGCTGTAAAGAGTTGAGTTAAATATATTTGTTTACAGTAATGATGTATTACCGGGTCGCAGACCAAAGTAAATAGCCGAACGCTGTTAACGAGTTCAACCTAATGACCCGATGCTACCATACATCATTAAGAGATAATTTTAGTGCCTCAATGCCAGATAGTATCCCTCGAATAGACTATTTGTGGATTTTGCGCGCGATATTGTGTCTGATTACGTCAGCAGCACGTTTGTAGTTTGTTCATGGCGCGCGAGGTCATCGTCTCGTGCAAACAAAAATATGATTAATATGAATGCACTTTATTAAATATTTCCAGGTGTTCAAACATTTACCCGTCATGCAATGATGTGTCTAAAACTATCATTATATCTCAAATTGCAGCACCAGCAACTGAGTTTGTAGTAATAGTGTTCAGTTGTTGTTAAAGTACATCTGGAATGCACCTGTGTCGATCAAATGTCGTTCTTGTTGTTACCTATCTTACAAAAGAAGGGGTTTTTCATTTTCCACACATATATAACGTGGAGATTATTTCCCGGGGATAAAGCTGATCCACTCCAATTAATATTCACACGTTAGGCTCAGTCTACGGTCATCTACGAGTATACAGCCGGCTCTAGCTCGGGCTCTGTTCAATCACTGCTCAGCAAGTCCTCTACAGTTACGCCAGACAATCACATAGCAATGACTTATCTTATTCCCAACATCAAACCAATCATATGCACTTCCGTTGACATTACTAATTAATAGCGCATGACGTCATTTCCGGATTTTCATTTTAAATGATCCATAAACGTTTCTCTTACTCAAGATCTGCGCTATCTCTTGTTTTCAAACAGAAGTATTATCTCTTGAGTCGACTAAGTATAATGAGTTCACCGGGGTCAACACTGACTCAGACTACCGTTTAGATACAATCTGATGACATCACATATGACAAACAATCCCGTCAACTCATGCTAACACAGATCATCAAAATAATCAACGCCCAACGCCAATGTTATGTATGTATGTGATCGGTGTACATTACTGGTAAGATCCGAACGTTGACAGCGATCACATATATGTTTGGAGCAGTCTTTAATGTTTGTACAGGAATCGATATACATTTAGTGTATCAGATATCTATGTGTGTCAGTGCTGGGTTGTCTGTGTAACACACATGTGTATTTACATAACACGTCGAAATTCAAACAACACGAGTTCGTGTTCAAATATCAATACTTTGACAGTTTAATTGCATTGGAGTGAAATCTAAAATATGTAAACTCTGACAGTTGTCAGAATTTACAAAACATTTGTTTAAAACGATTGATATCAAATGTCAACGTTCCCAGGGACCATCACGTCTGTTGGCATATTAACGTCATGTTATTCACTCTATTTACTTTCCTGTCTCTGATTTATTTATTTAATTTACATCCATTTCCATTCTTCGACGAATAAACAAACAACGCTGCAAACACAGATGTAAATATTTTCACAAATTCGAACACTAAATATCGATTTACACACTATTTAATTGGCATATATGTTTATTCTATTCAGTATTGACCTGTGTACAATTTATGAAAACAGTGTTAGATTTACCAAGTGTGGACAGACTACGGTGTAACGTTTATAAATCATTAT